CGGTGGCAATGGGATTTGATCCCAAAACTTCCCAATTGAGCCACTATTAATTGAATTCGCATCGGCGCCACAGCTAACCCCACCTGTCAACTGTGTATTGGGAAATGGGAACATCTCCCAATGACAAGTAGGGAAGATGTTCCTATTGCATGCTGAGATATGCCTGCGGGGCGCCAATTAGAACTCTCATCAGTCTACCGCGGCATAATTGTTTGCAGTGCCCAAGGATCTGGACTCACCATTGGATGACTCCACAGTGGAGATTAGTTGGACCAAATGTGTCTTAAACATGCTTGCATCCTTTTGCTTTTACGTACACATTTGATAGCATAGAAAAGTCACATGGAGAGTGGTCAGTGGTGGTATTCATTTCTTGTCTGGGCAGTTTTTTCTTGGACCCATCCATCAGTACTTTGATCGTCTAATCATGTTGTAGAAGTATAGAGTTATGATGACCCCACGCCCAAGACGTCATTGATTCTTGGGCAGTTGGGCCTTCGAGATGAAGTTATGTATTTCTTTTGTTGTATCAATGCCTTTCCGGTATCATACTATCATATATTGCCACTTTTCTATGTCAACGTAGTCTTTGTTAAGTTGAAAGTTGAAACATATTTCTCTTTTTTACCTTTTGTAAGTTTATTATTTTCCTCAGAGTATCATGCACCAAAAAGAGAACACGAGTCTCCCTTATGACCGCTGAATTTTCGTTACATTATAAAGTAAGAAACTGGAAATGACATGGTTAGTAGGCCAGACACCTTGTACAAGACCTCGGTCCACGGTATTTTGAACTAGTAGCTGTTTGCAATCCTTAGTTGATTTGCATGTGAGCTCTTGGTAGTTTGCTCGCATTTTCAAATATCATTTTGTAACCATTTTCAGGAGAATATATAATATTGTTGATGACGATCCAGCCCCACGCTTGGAAGTATTTGCATTTGCACAGGCCTTGATTGAAAAAAGATGTCCGACATGGATGAAACAAGGCCCAGCTCATGAGGTGAAGAACGTACCCGCTAAGAAGAAAGTTACAACTGAGAAGAAAACCATCGGGGGAGAAAAAAGAGTATCCAACGCTCGTTTGAAGGATGAATTAGGAGTAAGGCTTCTCTATCCAAGTTATAGGTCAGGGCTGCCGAGTATTATGGACTACATGGAGGAGAACTCATTTCCAAATTTTACATAGTTTTGTCCATCAACCATGCATTCTATCAATTCATATCTCCGCCCCACAGCACATCCCCGCCATGTATTGGGAGCATTGTGGGGGTATGTGCTGTGGGGCATTGTGGGGTGGAGATGTTAACTCGTGCTGATGTTTTATATTGGATGCCAGAGGCTCGACTCAGACCAGTTGCAGCTGAAGTTATCTCTAAACCGTTTATGTTTGTTTATTTTCATATAAGATATATTTTTTTTGTTTATTATGTATAATATTTTGATCATTTTAGTTTATTAATAACTTGGGTTGTATTTGGTGCCATTGATGTTTTTACCTGAAAGGCTGAAACGATTACAAATTGATAATGGATCGCTTAAGCTATTTTAAGTAAAAACAGCAATGGTACACAAGTGTTATTTAATATTTGATGCCAAAATGTTTCAGGTAAAAACAAGAATGGTGCCGCCGAACACAACCTTAGTGTTATTCAATATTTGATTACAATATGAATTTGATTTGAATTCAATTTAAGTATGATGGATAGGATTCAATTCAGGTCCAAATATAAACAAATCGAATTTCAATCCACATATTTCCGATCCATTGCAACACTATCTGACATCATCTGACTTGTTATTTAAGCCATTTGAGTTGGCTGACCATGGGCCACCAGGTTTTCCATTTTTGTTCAGTTTGGGCCAAAACTAGCCACATACATTAAGGGCGTGGCAGTATTCAAAACCATTAAGTTTAAGCCTATAAATACTACAAATTATCAAGTTTTCTATAATGGTGACGCAGATTGAACGACACCTGAGTGCGCCACAACACCAAAAGGTCCGAAACACCAAATGATGATGCGGTACCTTTCACATGGAATTCATTATTGATTTTGGGCATTACATGCTTGAACCATCTCTTAAATATATAAACAATCACACAAATGCATCATCATGCAAAGAGTTTTTTTTTTACTACTGATACGAAAAAGGTATCATGCCGATTGCTGAAGTTGGGATTCAAAGTATGTATGATAGAAATAGCCCCACATAAAAATTTAAAAGATGTGAACAGGGTTTAAAATATCGGAAATGCTGTGTATCGGAAAGGCAAATTTAAGAGACGTATTGGGACATGCATGGATATGGATGAAAAATTAAGATACACATATAAACACATGGAAATACTATAAATACTTTAATAAGTCATAAATAAACATCAATATCACTAAATATAAGACTTAACTAGCTATTTTACCATAAAAATCACGTGTTTTAATGGATTTTATGAAAAGACATTATAATCAACAAACGGGAACAAAAACATACTATTTAATAAAGTATTTAATTTAGTTCCAATCTTTCAAGATCCAACTTCAAATTTAAATCTAATATAATTTACAAATTCAACATTTGAATCCCAATATGATTTTTACAACTTTACATGAATCCCATAAAATTCAATTATTATATAAATTATCCAATTTTAAGTGTTAATGTGTTAGTAAAAGAATTTTCAATTGTATTATGAAAAATTTTAAATATATTTTTTCAATTGTCATCTAATACAAGTATCAAATAAAATAAATAATAATTGTTTTCATATTTTTGAGGCCACAATTATATTTACATTCAAATTATGGATTATCATGTGACATATATCAATGCCTTTTATTCTGTATTTTTTAAATATTACTAAAAATTCTTTTTAATTGTTTTAAACATTTTGCCAAGTGTTATCTAATCCAATTAAACAATCAACAATTGTTGAATCAATAATTATGTAAAATTTGTAATTATTGAATCAAACAATTTCAGTATTTTTTAAATAATTATTATGTTTATTCAAATAATTATTTTGCATGTTTTATTCTAAAAATTAAACAAATATTTTTTTAAATGGCTTCATGGACATCTATTATTTTTATTCTAAAATTAATAATTATTATGCATGTTTCATTTTAAAAACTAAATAATTATTTATTTTTATTCAAATAATTATTGTATGTTTTATTCTAAAAATTAAAAAAGTAAATATGTAACAGAAAAATTGAATGAATTTATGGACATAATAGATGAAATACTTATTTTGACGTGTTTCATTCCAAAAACTAAACAAATATTTATTTTTATCCAAATAATTATTTTGCATGTTTTATTCTAAAAATTAAACTAAATTTAAAAAGTAAATATGTAACAGAAAAATTGAATGGGTTTATGGACATAATAGACCATCCATATATTTATTGTAAATATTTATTATTATAATTTAATTCATAACAAAAAATTAGAGAAACAAATAAATATTTATAATATAAAAATTAAAATTAAAAAAATAAGTTAAAATTTTCACATGATATTTTAATATATTGATGTCAATCTTAGATCTACAACATACTCAACCTAGTTAGATCACATAAAATTAAAGAAATTATCTATATATTATATATTATTCCAAAAAATAAAAAATAATAATTTATTTAGAAGAAATTCCAATTGATCTATGGACATAGTAGATCATCTATAAATCTGCAACATAATCAATTTTTAGAGGTAGATCACAACAAAAACCTAAAATTTTCATTTCTTTCAGATTTTTTACTATTCTGGAATTTCTTCAAATAAATATTCACAAAGATCTACATATAGGAGCAAAATAAGTGATATATTTGCACAAGAATAGCATATCAACATAAAAAGATGTTTCTAAGCATCCAAACTAAAAAAAACACAAAAACATTGGCTGAGATTGTAAAAAAATTGAAAAAAAAACCATATTTCCACTCATTTTTTAACAATTTTGAAAAACTAATTGGATCTTATAAATTTGTGGATGTTTTGGTGAACTTTGGCTAGATTTCAATCTCTAAGAATGGTATAAAGGTTTCTAGAGGATTTGGGGAAAAAATAGGGCTTTCCAATGTTTTTTTTTTTTCACAACAATAAAAGTGCATTGTATTGGCCGATACAACATTGAAACAATCTGATACTCACTGAAACATTATCGATACGGCCATGATACGCTTCCGACATGATGAAAAGGAACAGTACTAAGGATTTGGTACCATTCCCCATGCCGGAACCTCAAAGATACAAAACGTATCAGCCGATATAGGCTGATACATAACAAAATTTTGAACCTTGGATGGGAGAGTCAAGGTTTTTACATGCTCAAGCATATTGATACTTTAAACCTTTGATTATACCCGAGGATCAAAATATCAATACGTATGGTATGGGTGCGTATAGGGGGTATCATGTCCATATCCAGGGTCAATTAAGATGCATAGATATACCGATCAAGATGAGTTTGGGGGTTTTCAAAGTTTGGGAAGATGCCTCTGATCCCTCTCTCTCTCAGTTGTTAAAATGCTGAGAGTAGAAAAAAGGGTAGGACTATCGGTTTGTATCAATACAACTGTTACAAATCAATAGTCAACTGCTACGAACTATTACAAACAAATACTTAACTGTTAAAAAACATTACTCAACGTCTCAACCATTACAAGCCAACACTCAATTGATACAAACCATACTAATCTATATTCAACTATTACAACCAAAACAAAATTGATATAAATGGTTACAAACCAATAAACTAAACCATCATAAACAATACTCAATTGTCACAATTCCCTTCTCATCCATTACAAACTGATACTTACCTAGTACCGACCCTTACTCAACAATTACAAACCATACTTGACCATCACAAACAATAATGAGGGCGGATTTTGCCCTCCAATGACATTATGACACCTGGCACTTACAGGCAGCTCGCTTCCCAGTCAGACCGACCGCCGCGTGATAATTCCAAAGATCTCACCACCGTACCCCGCATTTTACGGGATTATGACTTGTAACGGCTATATTAGCTCACCCACTCCCCGATTTAGGCGGAAATGGGCAACCTTACCGGTTGGTGGCTTTATCCCCACCTAACATGAAAACAGATCCCATCACAACGGGAATCTAGAAACTGCTCCACCAAACCCACGAGGACTCCAGTATATAAAGGCCTCAAACCCTAGGGGCAAGGTGAAGGTAATATCAGCCCTCTAGCTCTCCCATTCTCTAATATCATCTTCAGCTCACAACTAAGTGCTGACTTAGCCATCGGAGTGACTTCGCTGGGTAAACCCCCCGGGTTTACTCATTCATCTCTTGCAGGTTCCTCAGTTCCGTCGTTGCTGGTAGCTAGATCACCTCCAGCTGGGAGCAGCCGGATTGCATTACATCATTTGGCGCCGTCTGTGGGAATTACGCTACAAAAAGCTAAGTTCTCATCCTATAAAAAGCTAAGTTCTCTTCTCCCAGAAAGCTAAGTCATCACTTTTTAGAAACTGAAGCTCTCGCTTTATAGTTCCCATTTTTTATGAACTCAAAGACTATGCAAGGAACTAACAGACTAAGCAGCTCTACCAATTTTACTTTCAATTCAGATAAAACCACATCAGTCCTCTTCGCGAGGTCCCCTCTACAAAAATGAGCTCTTCGTGACTTCTGCGGGAGTTAGCGGCCAACAGACTACATGGGCGCCCTTGCTGGTCGAGCCTTCCAAGGCTCCTGTGTGAGTTGGCGACCTAAAGTTAGTAGTGTTGCCCCCGAAGGTCGAGCCCCTAGTAGCTTCTTGTAGGAGTGGGTGACTGGCATTACGAGGCTGATGCAATGCAATCATAGCTCTAAGGCGCCCACCCGACGGCCTAGAGCAGCCTGGCGACCTACGCATGGCCTGGTAGCCTGGCACATGCGTCGACCTGGCGCAGGCGCCGACTTGGCAGCCTGGCCTAGGCGCGAACTAACGAACTGATAAAAGACTTCTTCATCACATAAAACCTCGTCGCCTCTTCAACATGGGCGAACTAGTCCTAGTCGCCTCCTCGGCATGGACACTTAAGACCTAGTCGCCTCTTTGGCATGGGCGAATTAGTCCCAGTCTCCTCCTCGGCAGGGGCACTTAAGACCTAGTCACCTCTTCGGCATGGGCGAGCTAGTCCCAGTCGCCTCCTCGACACTTAAGACCCAGTCGCCTCTTCGGCACGGGCGAGCTAGTCCTAGTCACCTCCTCGGCATAAGCACTTAAAACCCAATCGCCTCTTCGGCATGGGTGAACTAGTCCCAATCGCCTCCTCGACATGGGCACTTAAGACCCAATCGCCTCTTCGGCATAGGCGAACTAGTCCCAGTCGCCTCCTTAGCATGGGCACTTAAGACCCCGTCGCCTCCTTAGCATGGGCACTTAAGACCCCGTCGCCTCTTCGGCATGGGTTGACCTAGTCCCAGTCGCCTCCTTGGCATGGGCACTTAAGACCAAGGCGCCTCTTCGACATGGGCAAACTAGTCCTACTCGCTTCCTTGGCATGGGCACTTAAGACACAATCGCCTCTTCGACATGGACAAAATCAACAAGAGTGGACTATAAGTCGCTCTTAGAGCCTAAGGGCTAAAGTACCGAACTGGCAGAAACCTCAGCACCTTACAAGCAGCTCCCAAAGCCTAAGGAACTGAATCAACGCTTACAAGCTCATCAAATTTCGAGCCAGAAGGAGAAATCTACTCCCTTCGTTGAGTTACTTTCAGCTCGGGAGTGGGGGGCAAATGATAAGAGCGAATTCAGCCCTCCAATGACATTATGACACCTAGCACTTCCAAGCAGCTCGCCACTTACAGGCAGTTCACCACTTCACAGGCAGCTCACTTCCCAATCAGACCGACCGCCGCGTGATAATTCCAAAGATCTCACCACCGTACCCCACATTTTACGAGATTATGACTTGTAACGGCTATATTAGCTCACACACTCCCCGATTTAGGCGGAAATGAGCAACCTTACCGATTGGTGGATTTATCCCCACCTAACACGAAAACAAATCCCATCACAGCGGGAATCCAAGAACTACTCCACCAAACCCAGGGCTCCAGTATATAAAGGCCTCACCCCCCAGGGCGAGAAGAGGTGAAGGTAATATCAGCCCTCTAGCTCTCCCATTCTCTAATATCATCTTCAGCTCACAACTAAATGCTGACTTAGCCATCGGAGTGACCTTGCCAAGTAAACCCCCCCGAGTTCTCTGATTCATCTCTTGTAGGTTCCTTAGTTCCCGTCGTTGCTGGTAACCAGATCACCTCCATACTCAACCATTACAAACTAATATCAATTGTTACAAACCAATATATACATGCCTATTTCAAATTTGAACTACCCTATTAGCTAAAACTCTCTGAACTATTTCTATCGACCTTTTCTTATTAATATAACATTAACAAAAAATAAAAAAATAAAATAGTTAAATGATTGTAGAAATTAATAGTTATTCTTGATTTAAGCATTTTTTTAATTCTTCTACTATTTCCCAACGTTTCCTTGATGCATTCTGGTAGTCCACACTTCACATAACCTATTGAAACATATGTTTCTTATTTATAGTTATTCAAAACGAGGGCATTTATCAAAAAATAAAAAAAAAGAAAGAAAACTCAGGTTCAATTTTATTAATATAATTTTTAGGTTTGAGTTTCCCTAGGGTATATCCAAAACAAAGCTCAACATGTTTCTTAAATCCATCCTACTGATACTCTTTGCATTTCAGCTACTTTTGAACCTTGCCTAAGACAAATTTCCTAATATTATCTGACATTTTAAGAACAAAACAAGCAGTGCCAAATCAAATATACAAATACTTAAACTTCACAGAATGGAAAATTCCCTTCCAATCAGCTATATAGTTTCTACATCTTAAACTTCCAATCAGCTTGTAGAGGATTTCCATTGCCTTTGGCTTCAGATTCATGTTACTTCTCACGATAATATTAATACCCAATGAAGTCAATCCCTAGTTTCCACTTACATACCATTTCGTCTTGAATAATGCCCAACTTTACTTCCATTGCAATGAATCTAAAGCCTGTTGGTGAATCTTTTCATCTCCTGCTGCCACCACGTTAAAACCTAAGAGAAAAACAAGAGCAGAAGGCCAAAGCAAACTTACATATTAGAGCTTGTATAAGGCATGTCTATCATCGGTTCCCACTGCAATACATATGCAAATGAAGTGATTCGGAAATTAGAAAAGGACTTGGATAGCAATACTTGTTGCACGTGAATGAGTAGAGGCCTCCCAATAAAGATGATGTCCTTTCCAATCAGTTATTACTCCACCAGCGCCTTCGATGACGGGAACCAGTGAAAGGAAATCATATGGCTGAAAAAGCAAAATATTTACCATCTCAATAGATCTACTAGACTCAGAAGTATATCTTCCAGATGAACGGAAAATGAACAATCAAAACTAATACACATTGTGTACTGGAGGATCATCCAATTACAAGGTAGTATGAAGGCCAACCAGTGTCCAATTACATGGGTCTTTTCCATAAAACTGGATTGCAGCACCATTTTCCACTCCTTTCTGGTAAGCGCCAGGGCCCATGGCCACAAAATGTGGCCCCAAAGTTTTGACCATTTATGTGACCATCCATGCCTAACTCCTCAACCAGACAGACTCATAGAATCACAGTAAAGCCATATAACTAACAGAGACAGCTAGCTAGCTCTGAAAGCAAGCACACCCAGGAGAGTACTTTGTTTAATACGAGTAACAGAGATAATATGGCAAACATCTTACCTTGAGACCAGACTCAACAACAAGATCCACATAACCAGATGCCAAGAGAGCGTAGGCATAACAGTCACAGCCATACAGTGGCACTTTCACCTTTACACCATTACAAATGACACAGAAACATTATCAGTATAAGTAGGCACTTTTAATGTTGTAAGAATTCAGATAATTATAACATTCAGGATAGCAACCACATTACCACGATAATCACTGTGGACGGATTATCTATTTCAAACTAAGAAACTAACCTTGCTTCTAACACGAGCAAATGCCTCTTCAGCATCTCCAATGAACAGATGAGGACTTGTTGTGTACCTGAAAAGCAAAGCGAGGAGAGAGATGAACATCCTGTGGTCCTGGGACTTTGTATTTAACTGAAAAAATAGAGTACTTGCAGAAAAGCAGGTCACTTTTTCTATGATACAGGAAGCACAGAGAAGAAAACATACAAATAGGCTTGAGAAAGGTTTGCACAGGCACGTGTCGATATTTCTTGTCCATTCAGTGTAGTTCTCCTCCCGCTTATCCCAATCCACCTTTCTCTTAAAACAGGCTGATCAATAATGCCAACAATCTGAAAATAAATGATTGTTGGAATTAGACCATGTCCAAATACTCGGGCCGAAACCAACAATGGAATTTGTGTATCACTTAATACAGCTACCAATTTTAGTTGACATACAACTACTCAAAAGGCTGCATAAAGAATATACCTTGGTCCAATATAGATTTCTCATAACATATACATGGCATCAAAAGAAGAAAGACCACAAAAATGAACCTTTCTCTAAGATCCCCAGAACAGAAGGAGACGGAATGATAGAAAAGAGTTAGGCTTCCCCACCTACACTAAATTATCATTACTTAATTAATAATGTTATAAATTTCTGCTTCCGTACTTAAGTTTAATTATCTACAAGTCGGATGCTTGGTGCCTCAGAAGTGCAGCCATTATTAGTACAGTAATTTTGATCCTACTACCTCACTAACACCTGGTTCCCGCGTCTCAACCTTCTTGACGGGACATTACTTGATACTACTAAGAGATTTTTTTTTCCCTGCCAATCTTCTCCAAGAACATAATCACAGTAAACAAGGAATCTAAATTTGCAAGCATGTTAAATGATCAATGTTCTATGCTTTCAATCGAACATCGATATCTTAAATGAAACAAATACGGCCCTTCAATTTTAGTTTACAGAGACAAAAGCTTGTGATGGTGAAGCATACCGGTTTTCCCTTATGCACAAAAGCAATGAGAGTCCCAAATAAAGGTTTTCCTGGAAATAGTAGAACGATGGGAGTAACCTTATCTGATAATCTCCAAAATTCCATAAGACTATAACCCAGTTAAGCTAATTCAAAACAGAGTGGGAAGAAAAAAGAACCTGTAATGAAACTCTTTGTCCCATCTATCGGATCTAAGACCCAAACATAATCTGCAGTTTTCTCTTGACACCTCCAACCATTCTCCTCTCCGTAACTGCAATTCTATTCTTTACAAAGTTCAACATATGGATGTAATGCAAGATTCTACGTCTTCGTTAGGACGACCTACTTACATTGCATGAGATGGAAAGTTCTCTAAGATGATGGAAACCATGGATTCCTCGGCAGCTCGATCAGCAATCGTTACAGGACCTATTACAATTTCATTTCGGAGAAATACCAAACCATAACTTTTAGAAACGGGGGAAAACTTCAGAAGCGGAGAAAAACAAATCCTAGTTATGATGATTCAATCTCTATAACTTACTCAAGTCTTCCTTGTCGAGAACCTCGAAGCTCTTACGGAAATATCTCCGGATCACTTCTCCAGCGGCGTCAGCAACCTTATTGCCGACCTTGAGGAAGCGATCTATATCCTCCTCTTTAAACCCTAAGGGAACACTTTCTACCTGACTCGAGAGCTTCGAATTCAAGCTCATTTCGGTAGAAAATCTGTTCTGCCTAGATACGATAATATCTAGGGCAGAGTTCGAGAGATTCTTCGAGAATGGAAGGCCTCGACTGTTGGGGAAAAGTTTCGATGAACTCGAACAGAAAGGGAGAACCGTCGGGTTTTGAGTGAGAAAATGAGAATGCGTATACATTTGCAGTGGCGGCCGGCGAAGAAAGGGCCGAAAGGCTTTTAAATAGGCGGGAAAAAGAAAAGCAGAGAGATAAGAGGAGATGGCTTCAGGAGTACGGTGGATGTTGACTCCTTGCGCACTGTCACAGGCTCACGGTGATATATGCACCGGATTATGACTTTAGGCGTCACCATGTACGTACACGTGGCACAACTGCTTTGTCTAATTGGACCTCCAAGTTGTACTGTTGTAGGTCTCGTCTCGTGATACGATGTTGCAAAAAGAATCTCGTGTGAATCTGCCAGCTGGCGGTTGTAGGAGGAAGGGGTCGGTTATGATGGACTTATGGGTTGGGCTCCCCACGCTTATATAGCCCATGGACCCAGAAAAGAAAATACTTCTCTCGACTCTCGACTCTCGAGCTAGCTTTAAAGCATCTTATTTCCCAGTTTTGACGTATCAAATCAAGGTTTAAAATATTAGAAATGATAAATGTATTATAAAGTAATTTTAAAAGATGTATTGGGATATGTCTTAAATATGCATGTATATCGAAAAAAAATTAAGATACGTATAAAAATATTATAATCATAAAATACAACAATAACACTTAATATAAGAATATATTAAATTAATATATTTTAATAGTTTTTATGAAAAAATATATTATAGTTAATTATAATTTTATTAAAAAAATTAATGTTTATAAATTATAATTCTTAAGTTTTATAGGATGGCGAAGACCCAACTCTCTTATCCAACCATAAAATATACATTGGCACAATTTTTAAGTGAAAATATAATTAATAATTATTTTTTATTTTTTTTATTTTAAAAATATAAAAATAAATAATAAATAAACATTATATAATATATTCAAAATACAGTTATTAAAAAAAATTTCAATTGTTTTATGGATATGGTAGATCATCTATACACTTATAATATATTCAATCAAATGATAAAATATAATTAATTATTAATTATTTTTAATTTTTAAAAACAAAAAAATAAAAAATAATTATTAAAGAAAATATTTCAATTAATATGTGGATGTGATATCCATTGGTGATGATGCGCAATCTGGCTGGTCCTAGCTGTCAACGACCTTGCCTCTGAACGAAGCTACAGGGAGTCTGAAACAAAGAAGATGGGGAAGCTCCAAGGGGAACCCAGTATGAATGCTTCGAAGCTCAAGTTAGAATTCTTAGGCAAGATAAAACCAGATGGCGCAAAGTTCACGTACCTTGTTCTTGGGGGTAGGGAGCCTTTTATAGCCACCTCGTGCACTCACTCCTAAGCTTCTGTCAAGTCGGGTACGATTACCTCAGGTCTCCTGCCAATTCGGGTGTCATCCCCTCTGCTGGATAGAACCGCCATTGCACCCTTTTGTCGGAGCCGTCTCTGCGACTGGCGATGACGGTGGCAGGTGACCGTTGAAGTGCGGCTGTCAAGCGTCAGATCCCAAGTCAGTCAGGTGCGCCGCCCTTGGATACGGACCTCCTCGGTGTCAGGTATGGTACGTTTGTTCAGTTCGGCGTCTCGGAGGCGAAGTGCTGG